ACCTGAGTGTATTCTGACCCCTTTTTGGGGTGTGACGGCTACAGTAATCGACAAGAACCCTTTAACACTGAGCAGGCGTTTTTCTCCCTCTCTCTCTAGATGAATTTCCTTCTGTGCTGGGTGTGGAAAGCACAGCAATCGTGATCTCTGCCTGACCTGACATTCAACTTTGGAATATAATAAAAATGTAAACTTGTGTACCATTTAAGATGAAATTAAAGGATTGTGTTTAATTGTTAATACCATGTTTTTTTTTTCTTTTTTATTGTTCTTGTTGTGTTTTACTCATTAGTTTTTCTTTTTCCTTTAACACAAGAAGAAAAAAGGAATAAAAATATCAACAAAAACAAATTGTAGCTGGAAAGGGCTGAAATATTAGGAAAAACGCAGTAAAAGCTCTCATAGTAGTCAATTAGGCGCTTTGTGTTGTGTCCTTCAAAGCACGCGTCAGTGGAGGTCGTCCCCAGAGGGGAGGGTCACGCGGCGTGCAGAGTCATTCAACGTCTTAAATCATCAAAGGCGTTACCAACCGTTATTCCCGTATCATCGCTGCGGGAATATCCGATTACAAACCGTAGTCGAGGAGAGGGAATGTCTTGTAGTTGTATTGAACACGTAGAAGTGAAACATGTGCGTTCCGTAATTGCGAAGGTATGGTTTGGATCTACTGCTTCACCAGGCGATTCATCTCTGTTTCGTTGTGTACTCTGTGAGGAGCGTCAACAGTTTTCATCGTCCAAAAAAACTACTTTCCCGCTTTTACGTAGTCGTCATAAAACAAAAACGGGAGCTGAATCCAGTGGTGAAATGTCTGGAGACGATGTTTTTCTATGCCTTACTTGTGGTTCTTTCTTTTGCCTCGATCACACAAAGGGTCACTATGAAAATGAAAGAAAAAAGTGTACGGATAGCATTGACAATAATGGGCGAAACCATTCTGTTTTTTTCGGAGTCCCCAGTTGTGAGTATACAAACTGCAAGCGACACCCTGGGGGAAAGATAAAATCCATATTTCCTACTTTTGGAGAGCAAAGAATAAAAGAATTACGTGAGGGGAAACCTTTTGATTTGGAGAGGGAACGAGCTATTGTTCCTTTAATATCAAATGATTCGCCGAATGATTGGATCTTTTTTATTTGGTGTGTATGTATCGGTAAACCATTTGGGTTTCGAATATCTAATAACACAGAATCTGATAGACTCCTTGAGCACGTAAAAGAATTGGGTTTTTTAATTGCAAAATGTTGTTTTCTTTACCAAAAAGGTATTCGTTTGGACTTTTCTGTAGATGAATCTGGATCAAATCGACTTTCAAAGGAATCAGAGGATAGCTCTTCGCAAACACGCTCTGGTGGGGATTCTCAATCTGTACATGGAAAGACAACAGATGGAGAATCACAAACAGTATCTAACCCTTCTATAAAGGGGTCTTCTCTTAAAGTGCGGAACACAAAAATAGATCCAAAATGTTCTGTATATTCACGTGTAGCAGGTATTAAAAACCCATTAAATACTTGTTACTTTAACGCCGTTCTTCAGTGTGTCCTTAAATGCCAATTTTTTACACGTCGTTTACTCTCTATTGAAGAATCATCATTACCTGGTCCACTTAGCCGTAGTTTGTGTAATATGATGCGTTATATGAATGGAGAGGGTGAAGGAGATACGTATCCACGAGATGTTTATCCCTATGCACAAGCAGTGTTACGGTCTTTATGTGATATTTCTCCTATATTTTCAAAAGATGAACAGCAAGACTGTCAAGAGCTCTTTTTATGTTTGGCAAATGGAGTGGCAGATGAATTTGATGAGGGTAAATCTGAAGAGCAAAAAAAGAAAGAACCACGTATATCCTTTGAGGGGGTTATGCGAACAGAGGTGACTTGTAAACAGTGCAAGAAACACATCCCTCGTGAGGAAATGTTTATGGCTTTATCAGTCCCTGTTGAAGATTCCATTGAGAGCGGTCTACGTAGACTTTTTCAACCAGTGGAATTAAAAGGAAAAGACCAATACGCATGTGAGGAATGTTTTAAAAGACTTTCTAAAGATGAACAAATGTCACATAATGCTACTGTTAAAGCAGAAAATGATAAAAAGGCGAAGGAGAAATCAAAGAAAAAAACAACATCAGAAGAGAAACGTAGTCTCAACTGTGTCTATTCAGATGCACGTGTGGAAACATGTATTAGCCGTCTGGGCGGCACAATGGTTCTTCATTTGCTGCGCTTTCATTTTGATGGTCGAGATTTTCAAAAGATAACACGAAATGTCTCATTTCGAATGTCGCTTGATCTCTCACCTTATGTTTCTAAACAAGTTCTTCAAGAGTATGAACGGCGGCGTGCTCTTTCTGTTCTTCAGGCACGTTTCTCACATCTGCGCTATGATGTTCTTGTTCATTTTCTTGATTGTGCAAACAATGATCTCGCTGAAGCTGAGCGTCTGCTCGCAGACGAAGAGAAAAAAGGACATATCAATACCGGAGACTATAGTCTCTCAGATGTTCAGGACTCTACAGACACTACAAAACTTAATTCAGTGGATAATAACAAGAATACTTCTGTAAATGGTGATGGTGACTATAATACGAGTCTTACTGGAAGCAAAATGTCAGGTTCAAATCATGAGGATGTACCGTGCAGTCCAAAAAAGAAAAGAGAATATCAACCTTCATTGGAGAGAAGTCTTGTAGGTATTGTGACACACCGAGGATCATTACATGGTGGACATTATGTTGCATATGTGCGGGATGTTGGTAATTCAAATAAGTGGTTTCGCTGTGATGATGATGAAGTGGAGATTGTAGAAGAAGAACAAGTCTTGAAATGTCAATCAGAGGTGTATATGTTGTTTTACGAGTAAAGAGATTACCTGTTGAAGTGGTGTGTGTGTGTGTGTCTGTGGGAAAACACCTCTGCGTTACTCTGTATCTCTGTATCTCTGTAGGAAGGTATGAGAGGTGAGAAGAGTGTTGGGAGGAACCTGTTTGGAAAAGGGGAGAAGGAAAAAAAAGGAAAGAAGAAGAAGAAGAAGAGCAAGAAAAACAACAACAACGACAAAACAAGAACGGTATGAACATGTGTGAGTAATGTGAGGGAATGAAGAGGTAAGGAATACATGGAGGAAAGGAAAGGAAAAGAAAAAAGGGATAGGGAAAACTTGTATATAATAGAAATAAATAAATCTCTGTATTGTATTTATTGCTGTGTTGTTACTTCTGTTATCGTTACTAACGATACACTTAATACTAAGAAGTGTTTATATCCGCCGTTACAGCAGTTTATGATTTCGCTATCCCAGTTGTTGTTATTGTTGTTGTTATTATTATTGCTGATGTTTTGTTTTTATTTTGTTTCTTCTTTAACCTGTTAAACTTCCATTAGGGAAGAGGGTAAAGAAGAGGAAGAAGAGAAAAAAGGTCTTTAAAATGAGAAGGGGAGAGTAAAGGTAAAGAAAGGAGGAAAATACAGTGTACATGTGTATATGTAAGCTTTTTTTTTTTCTGATTGAATACACATCTATATATACACTGAATTACTTTTGCTTTCCTTTGCGCATACATTACAAGCGATCGCGTACATAGAGGTATAGATGCTGAGAGATAATGAATACATATTATAAACAGGCGAATATTCTCTCTAACTCTCTAACTCTCTACCCTCATTGTTTTTATTTGTTTATATCTTGCAACAAACCCTGTAGCCACGGTTATTTGGATTGCAGTGATACGTGCCCATTGGTAAAAGATTATTTACTTTCACTGTTTTTTTTTTTTTTATTGTTTTGATTTCTTTTTATTATTATTAAATTACTTGTTATGTTATTTATTTATTTATTTATTTATTATAATTATACTCTATTTTTCTTTTTCTTTTTCTTTCTTTATTTATTTTTATAAAAATAAAGGCTTGGGAATATAAGAGATGAACGCCACAACGAAGCAGATGGTCAAACCGACCAGCGTTGTTCACCGCTACATGAAGGAAGGCCAACGGGTCTGTGTGTGGCTTGTGCACGACACGCAGATGAAACTCGAGGGAACTCTTCTCGGGTATGATGAGTTCATGAATGTTGTGTTGGGCGACGCGGCGGAGGTGCATATGAAGACACGGGAAGTTGTGCAATTGGGAAGGATTCTTCTTCGCAGCGATAATGTTGGAGTTATTCATCCCATTGGTGTGTAGATGCAGCAGGAGCATTCTCTCTTTATATATATATATATTTATATTTATATCACATCTCTTTTGCTCCTTGGTTTATTTGATGGAGTGCCACTTCTATCTTTTTTTTTTTTTTTCTTCTCACGTGTTCGTGTTCTTGTCACTATCATTCTGTGTTTGGACATGTACAGGAGTGACTCAAGGGGAGGAAAGAAAAAAAAAAAAAAAAGAGGGACTGAAAGAGATAGAAAAGAAAAAGAATGAGGTGCTGTTTAATAATAGTGAGGAATGGGAGAGACTTGATAAAGTCAAGTATCGGTATTATTTATATTAAAATATTGATGCTGAGACATTCTAGTAATGCCTTTTTTTTTGTATTTATATAAATTGATGCCTTTTTTTCTTCCTTTCTTCCTCTTTTCTCTTTTACTTGTTTTTTTTTTTTTTTTTACGTTTCCTCTACTTGTTTCACCACTATGATGATTACTATTTCATTTACAGTAAAGGTGGCTGTTGGTATATTTAGTTTGCTCAGTGGTAAAAAGGCTGCAAAAAAGAAAGAGCAAAACAAATTAGAGTAGATAACTAGAACAACAACAACAAAAAAAAAAAAACAGGAGGATTAAGTTTCATATATTTTTCATTCTCTCTGTATACAAATACAAGAAAGAAAAATAGAGTTAGTAGATACGAGAAATATAGTGTTTGTGTATATACGTCTTTATTTTGAAGGTAAAGGTAATTAATGGGTTGTGGTGCTTCACACGGACCAATTGGCACCCTTGAGGTGAAGCCGCTTCATGCGACGGAGGATTTCTGGCCTCCCAAGAAGAATAACAACAATGAAGATATTAACAACAGGAATAACAACAATGATCATCCTAGTGATGAGAATAATAATGATGGAAGAGATCAAGTGGAATTACCTGACGATAATGGCATCTCATCTGAGCGACCGTCTATCAGTGAATCCTCAGGGAACGATAAAAGTGACTCACCACCTCCTCGACCGACTGATAAATCCAAAAATAATAATAATAAAGAAGTAGAAGAGGATAATGACAATGTTATAGTCAGTAATAAGAGCTGTTCCTATACTGGTGTTGGTACTGATATTGGTATGGAGCGTCATCGTTCTGTTTCCCCTGCGCCTGGTCTCTCTGAGTACGCCACCCTCCCCCTTCGCCACATCCATAAAAAGTTAAAACACAACCACCGCGTGTTTCGCATTTGCCTCACCGGCGGCCCGTGCGCGGGGAAGTCGACGTTCCTGACGCAACTGCAGACGAAGCTGCCGGCCCGCACCGGCTACAAGGTGTACTGCGTGCCGGAGGCGGCCTCGCTGCTGGTGGGCGGCGGGATGGAGTGGAACGGGGAGACGGTGGAGGACCAGCAGCTCGCCCTCCTCCGCGTGCAGCTCGCGCTGGAGGACCAGTTCTACCGCGTCGCGCTGGTGGCCGGGCAGCCGGCGGTGGTCGTCTCCGACCGCGGGACGATGGACGGCCGCGCCTTCTGCCCGCCCGACACCTTCGGCCGCATCCTCCGCCGCCTCGGCGCCACGCTGGAGGGCCTGCGGGACCGCTACGACGCCGTCCTCCACCTCGTCACCGCCGCCAGCGGGGCGGAGGCCTACTACAATATGGACAACCCAGCAAGATACGAGGGGCTGGAGGCCGCAGTGGAGTCCGACTTGAAACTACGGCAGTCCTACGTAGGACACCCCATGCTGCGGATTATTGATAACTCTACCACCTTTGAGGAAAAAATGGAACGGGGATTGGCTCTCGTCGGACAGGTTATCGGGCAAAAGTTCTCTATGCAAAATACAACTTATTATCTGGTAAGGCGATGTCCAAAGGAACTTCCTGTCCAATATGCCGTATGTACTCTCACTATTACAGTACTCTGTAATAGCGTTTTTAATGATATTCGTCTTCTTATTAAACGTGAAAATTCTTCAGGTGATTGTATGTATTTCTTTAACTCTATACGAAATGCTAATGGACAGGGTAATGGTTCTGGTACTCATTCCAAAGATGAAAGTCTCGCACGTGAGGCATCACCTGGACATTATGAAGATTTACAAGCTATGCATGATGCTTTTATGTGGGTAGATGCAGGTCGTCGAGTAAAGAATGAACAACGTATAAGTAGTAAAGAGTATAGTAGTCTTATTAAAAATCGTGACACACTTCGTCGAGATGTTGTTTTACGTGCTGTTAATTTTATTCATGATGATAACCGGTATGAAGTAACTACCATAGTGGAACCCATATGGGCTGCAGGGAAACAAGCATTAACACTTGAGTGTGATGATCAGGTAAAGGCGAAATTTCCGTCCTTTATTGAGGTTGATCGTGAGGTACCAATAGACAGTTTCTCTACTGCTTTTCTTATATCACATGCAGAAATGGGATCACTGTATACATCACTGGCCTATGCACCAGTCTTTACACGGGGCATCATGGCAAAAGACTCAAACACAGAATCAGATGATATTGCCAAAGAAAATAATAATAATAATAATAATAATAATAATAATAATAATAATAATAATAATAATAATAATAATATCAGTACTGTTGACCAGAATATTGAGAGTGTCTCACACAAAAAGGAAGTGGATAAGCCAGTTAAGATAAAGAAGAATAAGAAAAAGAGACGCTCCAAGCTCATTTCTAATGAGCACACTCCACAGTTACCGCTTGAGTCTAAACCCGTAAATACGGTCAATAATGAAACTGATATATCAAAACCAGTTGATGAATCTGATCATATTAAAAAGAACTTAGTTAATGAGTTTATCAATAAGAATAATTCGTCCAATGAATCTATCTCTGGAGAAAAACCGAAATCTACTCATTTTTCTAAACCAAAACTTGGTTCTATTAAAACTACTTCAAACTCGTCTTCCTTGTTGCATTCCACGCCACCACCACCACCACCACCGCCACCTAGCGTCCCATCAACAGCAAATCCTCGTGGAATGATAATGAGTCAGCATTAGATCTATAAAGAATTGTTTTTTTTTTCTTTTTGTATTTGTTCATTGATGATGTCTTTATCATCTTTATACATACATATAACTTAGAACTCATGTAGATTTTATTCTTATTCACCCCCTGTCATTTTTTTTTTTTTTTTGGCAGGTTTGTACCCTTTGCTTTTTATTATTTTTCTTATTACTTATTTTTAATCACGTTTTTCTTTTTACCGTTGATGCTTTAGATTTATTACTTTTGTTATTTGTTTGTTCGTTTGTGTGTGTGTGTGTGTGTGTGTATGAATGTATATATATATCTGTGTATTTCTGGGCACATCTCCCTAGAAAGAAATGCAGCCTTACGTATGAGAAACATATGGACACATTTATCAACCTAGAATTGATGTGTAAACTTATGTGGCCCTACTTTGGGTGGAAAAGAGGAAAAAAAAAAAAGAAAAAAAAATGTGCTTAGATTCCCATGAAGAAGATGGTTAGTCTCTGTTTTTTTCCCTTTTTTTTATTGTTTCCTTTGATTTGTTAACAGTCTGAAGTGAGCCACTGGCGAAACTTTTGAGTTGTTTCGGGATAAAACAATGTGTGCGAAATAAAATACGGAAACAAGGGACAAAATGAAAAAAACCGAAAAAAAAAAACAACAACAACAGGGAACTCTCTTTGTGCAGTGTCGCTTTTTCACGTTGACAAAGACGTAAACCCATATTTTGTGCAGAGAAAACAAGTCAAAAAAAGAAAAAAAAAAATAGCACTATAAATGGCCTTAATCATGTTTTCTCTTTTTTTTCTTCTTTTTTTCTTTTTTTTTTCTTTTTTTTTTTTTCTTCTATTAGGTAAAAATAGCAGTAACTGAGGGAACACAACCACAGGAAACCAATTGATACGTCAAGCATCAAAAGAAAAAAAAAACAAAAAAAAGGAAAAAAGAAAAAAAGAAAAACAAAAAAAAAAAGGTAGAAGACTACTCCAAACTAGTATTTCTGTGCGATCGAGGTAACCCACTATTTGGTCTGTCGAGACAGAAGTAAGAAGTTCGTTATTAAACCGCCTCTTTCTGCGAGTTCATTTTCTTTTTTTGTTCTTTTCTTCTCCCTTGCGTTTTCTCGTTCTCGTTTTCCCTCTCTATCTCTTTCTCTATATTCTTGGTGTATATTTATTCCATTCTTGTGGAGGGAGATGTCGGAGGCGACTGTGTCGTTGGTGCCTGTGGAGTGCCTGATCTGTGCGGAGCCGTGCGATGCGCTTGCCGTCTTCAACTGCGGCCACCACGTCTGTTACATCTGCGGGCTTCACATCCACGCCGCCCCGAGTGGCGGGAGGGACGCGGCGGCGAAGGCGACGGCGCAGGGCGGCTGCTGCCCGGTCTGCCGCGGGGGGGCCGACGGGCCGCTGATCGTCACCCGCAGCCTCCCGGACGGCGGCGACGATGTCTTCAGCCCCGACGCCCTCCGCCGCCTCCGCGGGGCCTGCGTGGAGGACACTTATCTCCGCTGCCTCGTCCACGGCAGGGAGCTCGCGCGGGAGGTGGCCAAGCTGTACGAGTACGTGTGCCCCGTGCCGGCCTGCTGGCACCGCGGGGTGCAGGAGCCCTTCTGCGAACTCGAAATGCTGCAGCAGCATTTGTGGATCGATCACGGAGTGGAGTACTGCTCTGTCTGTCTACAACATCGGGCTGTTTTTCTATGTGAGCAGGAGGTGTACTCAAAGGAGGCACTAAGGTTACACATGGATGGAATTTGTCCACAAGACACTCTCTCTTTTTTGGGTCATCCGAGTTGCAGATTTTGCGGTAATAAACGTTTTTATGATGAAGATGATTTGTTAAATCACATGAGACAAGATCATTTTTCATGTGATGTGTGTAATCGAACCGAGTTTCGCTTTACCTATTACCAAAATCGTCAAAAACTATTAATGCATTTTGAACGTGAACATAAATTATGTGATCACCCTACATGTGCTTCACTTGATCCTATGGTACGGGTATTTGCTTCTGATTTGGAGTTGGCTATTCACAAACAACGAGTTCATGGTGTTCGCTCTAAGGTTACACTTTTCGCCCCTGATGCAACTAGTTCAAGTCCGACTAATAATAATAATACTAATAATAATAATAATAATAATTACAACGATGGCTCGACAACTAATGTTGCGCATGCATCCAACGCAAATGCTGTTCACATTACTTTTGATTTCGTTTCAAGACGAGAGACAGTGGAACTAACTCCAAAGCGATCCGTAGGAGGAGGAGGAGGAGGCGGAGGAAAAAAATCAGGTGGTGGTAAAAGAGGTCAAAAAAATAAGGGTGAAAAAGGAGTTGAAATTTCTATGCCGCACAATGTACATGGATTGCCAATGCATTTCAGAAAACGAGGTGTGTTAACCCCTTTAATGCGTGTAGAACCTGAAAAGGCAGATTCACCTGTGGAAGAATTGCATCCAAGAGCTTTTGGTGTTTCAGAGAGTGTAGAAATATATAATACCAAAAATAAAGTACCTTCCGATCGTAAACAACTACAAAGAGAACTTGATACTGCTTTACAAGAAGAATTAAAAGATTTACAAAGGTTAAATGATTTTCGTGACTGTACAGCAGAGTTTATGAGTGGAAAAATGCTTGCAACTAGATATTACAATTGCCTTCGAGGGGATTTCTTTCCATCAGAAAGTGCATTTGAGAGGGTATTTCCTTTACTAGTTGCTACAGTTCCACTTCCAGAGAGACGAGAAGCATTAATACAAATTGAGAAGATGCGAAACTCCCCAGAAGTGCAACGGGCTCACCGGATGTTAGAGGAAGAAGCGAAGAAGAAGGCAGAAGAAGAACAATGGAAATTTCAGACTAATCTAGCGAGACGTCTTAAGGAAAAAGGAAACAATAAAAAAGGAAATAAAGGACCGCGTAATGTTTGGCTAGAAAAGGGTGGCGCTGGTCTGACTCTTCAACAGAATAGAGAGCCACAACAACAACAACAACAACAGCAACAGTCGTATACAGGAAGTAATAATAATATAAATAATAGGAACAGCAATAATAATAATAATAACAACAACAGTGGTAATAACCGTCCTTCTTCTTCTTTACTTGGATCAGGTTCTTCGCGAGGAACGGCGGGACAACAACAACAACAACAAACGTCACTTGTGTATACAACAGGAGAGTACTTTCATGATCCGGAAGATTTTCCCTCACTTCCATCATCCAATCCGCGTCGAGCTCTTGGTATTCCTCAGCCAAAGCGGTCTCAACGTCCTAACGCATGGTTGCGTAGATAAATGTGTAGTGATAAAACGGTTGATGGGATTTTTTTTTTTCTTTTTATGTTTGGAGGATATGAAGGGATATCTGGGAAGGACAATTAAAAGAAGCATAATTCTTGTTTTTGATTCAATTTGATTGTTTCATCTGTTATTACGTTTCACAGGAAAGAATATAATTGAATATATATATATATATGTGTGTGTGTCTTTACGTTGTCACTCCATTCTTTCCTATTCTTTTGGTTCTATTACTTGACTCTTTTTTTTTTTTTGTTTTTATCAATTGGAGTTGAGTTTCTTCTTGGCAGTGCATCCCTTTCTCCAAGAAATGAGTCGAAAGTACAATGAACTTACATGTATCCATCATCATTGGCAAACCGATATATATATATATATATATATATATATATATATATATATATGTATATATATTGATATAAGCGATGAAAATGGAAACCCAAGATCATATTTAAGAGGCTACTAATTAATTCTGTATTTTAGCATTCATTATTGCTCTACTACACTGTTATTCCTCTTTTATTTTTGGTTCTCTGGGAATCTCTTTTTTTCTTTTGCTCGCGTTTCAAGAAACATTTCTCATTTGCCGTACAATCATTTGTTGTTGTTGTTGTTTGTACGTCTTTGTGACCTGTGTTCTTGATTATTTTTATTATTAAACCACGAACAACATCAAAGAAAAGGAAAAAATAAAATAAAAGAAAAAATAACGACACGAAAGGAGTCATATCCATAGTGTACAGTTATTATTATTTTTTTTTTCTGTGTAAATACGGGAAAACTTCTTTTCATTATTTCTTTCTCTCTTGGCAACACTAGAATCACATTTCTTTCTTTCTTTCTTTCTTTTTTTCTTTTCTCTTTTTTAAAGATAAAATAAAGAAGAGGAATAAGAAGAAGGTGTCTATTCTCTTTGACTCTATACAAATAGAAAGGAATATACACACTTTTACTTTTCCATTATTTCATCATCTTTTTTTTTTTTATATAATTATACAATACAGAAAAAAGAAAAAAAAAAAAGAATTCCAAATCTTCTTTTTTTCCTTATTATTATTATTATTATTATTATTATTATTATTATTATTATTATTATTGTATTTGAAAAGGATGTCTGTTCGTATGGACACGACGCTCTACAGTGAGCTGAACCGCCTTGAGCGGGGTGACTTTCTCCTCTTCCACTGCGTGCAGCTCTCCCAGCATGAGCAGGATGTGCAGCGGTACTTCTTTGGCTGTTATTTCCCCCGCTGGCGCGGCTTCTACGTGGAGGAGGTGCGGGAGCTGCCGGGGCCGCTGGGGTACAAAGTCCCGCGGCATTTCCCCGCCTTTCCGTTTGATGTCTACCTGAAGGATGATGGCTCCAACTTCCTCACGGACGACTTTACGGTGGGCTCCATCTTCACACTGGGAGGTCCACTCAACCAGCGGGATGAGGGAGTTAAACGGTATAAGGTGATTTACTGCGATGACAGTCGTCTACGTACACGTACAGGGAAGACACTGGCAGATATTGGAAATGATATCACAACGAAACTTAATCAAACACACCGGGTTTCAAGTGAGGCTATTGAATTACTACGTGAGATTAGAGATGCATATGTTATGAATGCTGGTAACAGTATTCCAGAGATTGGTATTAAAGCTATGGGTCGTCATTTTAGACAAGTAAGCGGAGATGGAAAACGATGGATGTCACTTGAGAATATTGCCAAGTTTGTTCGTGATTCACGTGCCTTTAATAAATCTTTATCATTTGAAGATACACAACAATCTACACGTAAAATTAATAGTATTGCAGAATGTATTCATAGTGCATTTCCACATAATGAAGAAGGATATGTGGATTATGATTTATTTATGGATTATATACGTGGTCCAATGAATCAAAAACGTAAAGATGCTGTATGGAATATTTTTCGTAAACTTGATTTTGATGCTGATGGTAATATCAATATTTTAGATATTCAGGCTCGCTATAATGCACAAGAGCATCCTACAGTAGCAGTGGAAAAATTATTTTCTGCAGATAAACTACTTAAAGGTTTCCTAACCATCTGGGACGAAAACAAAAAGTATGGATTAGTCCCATATGCTGAGTTTATCGACTATTACAACGGTGTCAGTGCTGTAATTGAGGATGATGATATCTTTTTTGATATCTTACGAAACCAATGGAAAGTCATGGAGAACTGGGGACAGTGAGTGAATAAATGAATGAATAGACAGGAAAAGAAGAAATATAAAGAAATATACAATAGAAAAGATACCGAGAGAGTGAGAGGTTGAGAAGGAGAGGAAGGTGGTCATGATGTAAAACAATGAAATGTCGGGATATATGCAGTGTAGGCAGAGAGGGAAAACAAGAAGAACCAAAAATAAAAAAAAAAAGAAAAGAAGAAAGGTTAGGTTAGGTTTAACCCTTGTAAATGTACGTGCTGCCTTATTTGAGTTAACTGTTTTCATTCTTTTTATTATTATTCTTCTTTCAGATCTGTATTCTGTATGAATACGTAAAGGTTTTTAAGTTTAACCAAAATGTATAATATATTACCAAATGAAGTGTATACACACATATATATATATATGTATATATATCATCTCTCTCTCTTTTTTCTCTCTCACTTTTACTATTTATTTGGTTTCTTTTATTTATTTAAAGGTGTAGTAAGTAGTGCTATCGTGTGGTAGAGGATAGTCACGGGAGATGTCGGGTAGACTAATGGTTGCTTTCCCAGAGGGAACAGAGACGCTGCCTGTTAATTCTCCCCAGGCATGTTATTTTATTGTGATGAGAAGACTCCCATCATCATTATTGCTGCCTTCTACACTAGCTGAGCATCATACTACACATACATCATCATCAGTACAGGGGAGAAGAAATGTAGATGATAGAATGAATAATAATAATAATGGAATGATGGAAATGGAAAAGAAAGAGGGAGTTATGATAATTACAGTAGATACAATATCAGGACAGTTAATATACACTGGAATCCCACAGAAGGATCTTTTTCCTTCTATGGATGAGGCTATAAATGGAATTCATGCCTTGTGTCCACATACTACACAGACATTTGAGGTACAAACATTATTTGAGTTTTTAGCCTTTGCTGGTGGTTGCTTATCAGAAGAATTTATTCACTTGCTATTTATTGCGTCCAGTACACTTTTGCTAGAGGGTAAAAGAGCTACACCTTATTCTCATACTAGAGAAGAAACTGTAAGTAGTCCTATAGAAGATTCAACTATAAACTACTGGTATATTCCTCCAGTTTATACTGTTAAGAAGGCAGAATGGTATCAAATTCCTCTACGGATTACAGTACCAGCGTTGCAAGATTCACTTAAAATAAATGAAATACACTCATGGACACACAACTCTCATTTTACTACACCTTTCTATGATTTACCTATTTTAACAAATGGATCTGAACCACCTTATTTATACTATTCACCAGGTATTGATATTACACATTCTAGTATATTTAAAGATGCTTTAACACGTTGTGTCACTATAAATGAAAAAGATAATCATATGAATGAAGATGATACATTAAAAAGTATGAAGGATGGAGTTTCTTTTAATTCTTCTACATACTACAATCATAATGTTTTTCTTCCACCTCTTCCTAAGAAGACAGGCCGTTCTGCCTTGGGACGTTGTGATTGTTTATGGAATGAAGAACTTATTAGTTTTTGTGAAGTATTTGGTTTAAGTAATTGTTGTTGTCGACTCGCACTTGGATCCTGCTCATTAACACCATTATCGTATTCCTTTCGTGATTCTCCAATGGCTCTTTTATTAGTACGAATTAGCCGATTGGCCATGCGTGGATGTTTTTATGATTATACTCTGGAATCTTCAAAAACCCGTTTTGAAGACTATATCTCTACATTAGAAACGGAATTTCAGTTATTTATTCTACGAAAGTCTCATTATGATATTTCTATAGATAAGAAAAAAAGCGTAAAGTCTATAATCTCTTCACTGATATGGAGACGAGGAACCGATTTTTTTCATCATAAAGAAATTATAGAGCAACAGAAGAAGTTTGATGATTATACCAATCGGTTTATTGATCCACTGCCATCACGAGAAGATCATGTGGGAAATATTTTCTCTGGATATTTGGAGCGGTATGGACCGGGTACGAGAATTATTTTAGCACATGCAGGGAGTGCGGCCTGGTGTAGTAAAACCATAGTCTCTGATAATCACTATAGAACTACTAGTAGTAGTGTTAATAATAATAATAATAATAATAATAATAATAATAATAATAATAATATACCGGCATGTAGTAAGTCTCCTCTACGTAATACTGGAGGAGGAGGAGGAGGAGGAGGATCTCCTGTGAGGAAACAATATTTTGTTTCTTCTTCTTCATCTACACCACCATCTCAGTCATCATCACGGCCAACATCACCAAAGAAGTTAAGTCATTCTTTATCGACCTTTTTTATGGCTTCATCAGATCAACGTGGTGAAATAGAGAATGTTTTAGTAGATGTGGGAACCGTTGAAAAGAATCTTCAGTTATCTCTGGAGTCTCTTGCTGCTCATGTGAGAAGTCATGCGTTGAAGCCTAATGTTACGATTGGGGATCTTTGTTATTTCCCATCACAAGATAATAGGAGTAAAGAGGGGGATTATATACATAAAGAAGAAGTCTTTTTACATTCCTTTTGGGGAAGTGAAACTATGTATAACTCTCATGAGGAAGTTGAGGATAACTGGATACCACGTGTATGTGTAATGGATGATACAGAGACAAGTATAATAGCTTCTATCATTGTTTCACTTGGATGGATTGTAAGTTGGTTGTGTCATCAAATGGATGAACAGATGGAGGAATTGCAATTCTTACGAGAACATACATTAGTAGTAGAGAGTATGATTAGTTTATTACTTCATTCAGCAGCTGGAACCCCGCGAACGAGTATGATCTCTGGAATAAGAGAAGTGATTACCCCATTATGGAATTGTTTAATAGATATATGCAGTGTAAAGGGAAAAGGAGGGATACCTACCAAAAAGGGGTTTAGTTTATTTGTATGGAAAGAAGCAGAACGGATTACAAGATTAATTGAAGAAAGAGTAAAGTCTTCTTATGGAAATACTACTACTACTACTACAAGTGATTCTCTTTATTCTGTTTTAAGTGAGAGGGTTTCTTCCTTTCTTGTGCGGTTCTTTCTCCCTGAAGGGAAATTCTATCCACGAGAGCATGTACGTCATCGAATAGTCCTTCTTACACATCCATCTAAATTATCATTTATAATAAATGCACATATGATGTTTCCTTATTCTGAAACTCAGTGTTGTTCATCTTCTGCAGTAACAGAGACAACGACAACAACAGGTATTATACAAGAGAGAGGGAATTCTCCAAATCAACTTCGACGACGATTATTTCCATTCACACCATTACGATCTTTAAATCCACCCATATCTTCTCATGATACTTCATCCTTATTAGTATCACCATCATCATTATCATCATCATCAGTGCAAACCAATACTAATCATAATAAAAATACGGCTACTGCAGCTTCTACATTAACATTAGGGATGTTTAGAGGTTTATCACATCCTTTCTCACAGTCGCTGCTTATTCCCTCTTGTTTTGATAAAGTGGCGTTTACGATTGCCCTTCCTTCTCTTTCACATATTACCCATATTGCCTTAACAGTTGCTAATGCTGTACAGGAGGCCTCTTACGCAGCTGCCTTATCTATTTCCCTCTCAACATGTTGTTATTTGGGTCAAACCCATACACGAGCGGTATTGGAGGATGTACCACTTCCCATTTGTGTGAGTAGTCGATCTTCACAAAGTGGACAGGCCGCACCCCGGCTGATATTCTATACATTACATGCTTCTACATCAGATGGAATAATGTATACGTCTGAACGAGATGATGAGAATGATAATAATAAAGTGTATTCAGAGTTAAATAGATGTGAACATGCGTTTCAATCCACTGCACCTGTGATTGCACGTTTTCTGCAGTTTTCTTTTCATGGTTCGGGTTGTAATGCGATGGCTCTTCCCCCTGTGTTGGTGTTTGGGAAACCACTAGTGTCTATTCCAAAGGATGATGAACCGTCAAGAGATATAACTCTACAAACAGGATTGGAGCATTTACTTCCTACACCCATACCCCCGTTTATATGGGCATCCCAACAGGAAGAGGAGAAAGAAAAAGAAAAAGAAGAAAAAGAAAATTTGTTTATAGTAAAAGATACACAATCTATGTTTACAGAGCATTGTACGAATTTAAATGAGAATAATACAAATACGTTTGATAGTAACAAACTTGTGGAATCAGAAAATTCAATATCGCAACAAGAGCGGTGCCATGTGCCTGTTGTTGCAACTACACAAGGACGTTGTGAGATGTATGTGCATAAACTCATTTCCGCCATACCAGCCGAGTTATTTCAGTTAACATTAGGTCTAACTTTACAGGTGGAGTGTAAGCGGCTTCAGTGTCAAGTACGTCGTTATTATCGAGATTGGTGTTTACATCGAATAGAACTTCCTCGTTGGGTTATGAACCCCATATGTCAGGTATTTCCACACTCTGCTGTTTATCGCTCACGTCTTCCAGAAGATACGGAGGATTTTATTAAGATTCAAGAGCAACAAGAAGAAAACTATCATCATCAAATGGAGTCACATTGTAAAAAAGAATTAAAAAAAATAAAAGTAAAACGAGAAGAAAGAAGACAATGTGCTCTTTGTAAACGTAAATTTTCATGGTTTTCTACGGCTAAAGAGTGTAATAGATGTCAACGTCATGTGTGTAAGAAGTGTTTACATGATGATTTTGTCTCTTTACCTGAACTAGGCCTTTATGAGGTTAATTATCGTGTATGTCTTAAGTGTTTAGATAAATGTAGAGCACTTGAAGGAATTATAGAAAGTTTTTATTGGAGTGAATGTAATGATGAAGTGGATAGTGAAGTAGAGATTGAAGAGGCACTGGCTTTTTTTTCACCTTCTACATTACCTCAATTATCATGTGTGTTGTTTGCATGTAAAGAACTATGGTGGGGTCATATTCAGCAATCATCCCTCTCTACTAATCATCTCTCATCATATCAATTGACGATGTATCCTTATACACGTGTGGTGAGTGCACCTGGTATGGATGATACCAAAATGCCACTGTTTGAAGAAGTACTTGGCGTTGCTGGAATAATAAATAATAATAATAATAATAATAATAATAATAATAATAATTACAATAGTAGTTCTCTTGTAGATTGGCGATGTGTGTTGGATGAGGAGTGTACAGATTCAACTACACGTGTAAGTCGACATGTTGTTTTACTTTTACCACAGGAAGCCAGTGTTTCCTATGGAGTATTACACTATATATTAACAGGGAAACCTCGAGGCAATGTGGAGTTACAATTGCTTTTAGGGAATGCCATGCATGAACTACATTTATTTAACTGTACATCTATTCATCCATCGGATGATAATGATGGTTATGTATATAACGATATGAATAGGCAAGTAAAGATACTCCAATTACACCATCAACCACAACCACAGGAACAAGTTAGACGATTATTGTTTGATAATGAAGAAGAAAAAGAAGAGAAAGAAAAAGAGAAAGAAGGTTCATGGACGCCAAGAGTTCATTCAACTATACTTTTTGCTGCTTTATTCTTTCATGGTGCTGTTTCTGATCTCGCCCTTTTACGAGTGAAACATTTTTCTCTCTGGGGACGATTTGTGTTCAACACACCAGAGATCCACTCCAGCTATCACAAGTGTAAACCGGATCTCTCTCACTATGGAACTCTTAATGGAATATCTGCGTACTGTACACGAGGTGTGATGAGTGTGGCGTGTCTACCTCGTATGTTACCCATGACGCGCCTAATTCCTCTACGAAATATTATTTCTCATACAAATACCGAACAATTATTGTTGGAGTTTGATTTTGGTATTCCAACGACGGTGTGTGGATTTGTTTTGGAACTTCACCACCCAGTGATGATGACAAATACACAATTTGGCATCGCCACAACTCTTCGTCTTGTTGGGGTATCTGCCTGTGGGTTTCGCGGTAATATTGGGATCTTTACACTACCCTGGCCTCCACTGCCAGTATTGGATACCACACCGCATGAGATATTTGCCTATGCCTACAGTTTACCGTCCACAAATTATAATCTTCTCTCCGTGTTGGTAGAAGTTGTGGAGTGGCGTTCTGTTAATCCAACCGCTGCTGCCTCCCCTCCCACCACCGCATTCGTGGGGAGAAGAGAAAAGAAAAAAAGCATCTGGACAGAGAAGTATAATGCTCAGGAAGGGATGTTAACTATGGAAACGAGTGAGAGTTCACCACGGCGAGGTATATATGTGGGAAAGATTCACTTCTGGACAAGCACAAATACCACCACACGACGTATGGTGAGTGGCCACATGTTTACTTCTATTCATGCGGCTGTGGCTGATAGTGGTACACACCACTAAGGAAATATATATATATATATATATATATATATAACTGTAATTAAATCAACGAAAGAACGGAAACGGGAAGGAAAGGGAATGGAGGAACTATTACATACATAATATCCGATGTATGAAGAAATACACAATAATAATAAAAAAAGAAAGTAATAAAAGATTTGAATACCTTTTTGACGGTATATTCACACCATCGAACTTCAAGTTGTAGCGTGGACTTTTTTTTTCTTTTCTTCTTTATTGTGTTCTCTTTTGTCGTTTATGACAAGTGGGAGCGAAAGCCTAAACAAGATTTCAAAAAAAAAAAAAAAAACAACGAAAACTTAGAAAAAACAAAAACGATTTTTTAAAAAAGACGATATAGGGTGGGTATTCAAAAAACAATCAAAAAGAACAAGAAAAGAACAACAAACACAAGAAAAAAAAAGGACATTCATCATGCAGGGAGAAAAGACTATTCTATCCATTCAATCCTTCGTGACCCACGGCTACGTGGGTAATAAGGCTGCCACCTTTCCACTTCAGCTGCACGGCTTCGATGTGGATGCCATCAACACAGTGAGTGTATCCAATCACAGTGGCTATCCCATTATCCGTGGACACCGCATGGATCTGCAGGAGTACGAAACTCTCATGGAAGGTATTCGTGCGAACAACTTCCTATCCAGCTACCGCTACTTACTCACAGGTTACATCAATAACCCAGAGATCATCCTGAAAGTCTCTGAGACACTGAAGGAACTGCGTGCATTAAGAGAGAAGGAAGGCAAAGAAGTGACATTTTTCTGTGATACGGTTATGGGAGATGATGGTATCATGTACTGTAAACCAGAGGTCATTGAGGCATATCGTGAGCTGATCAAGTTTGCTGATATTGCGACGCCAAACTACTATGAAGCGGGTTTGTTAAGTGGCATCAACATTACAGACATGGAAAGTGCTATCAAATGTGTTGATTGGTTTCATGCACAGGGAACCAAGACTGTTATCATTAAATCATTCCGTACAAAGGAAGAGCCCACACAATTGCAATTCCTCATCTCAAGTATTAAAATACAAAATGATGATAATAATAAAGTGCCTGCCACACCCCGCCGATGGACTGGTATAGTGCCCTATCATGAGGGCCGCTATACAGGAACTGGGGATCTCTTTGCTGCCTCGCTACTGGCCTTCTCTCATGATCATCCATTGGAGATTGCCGTTGGAAAGGCCATGGCTGTGCTGCAGGATACAATTCTCGAGACTCGTAAAGAGGGCGGTGATGGTAACAGTTCTTTGGCCAGTAGGGAACTGCGGGTAACAAAGTCACCAAATATACTTTTGAATCCTGTCACAGTTGTAGTTGTAAAACCCATGTGATGAGTTAAAGGGTTATGAATTATTTTTTTAAATATATTATTTTCGTGGCTCTTTATTATTATTACTACTATTATTATTATCTCATATTATTACTATTATTAGTATTATTATTGTCATTTTTTCCCCCTTCGTTTTTCAGTAGAGATCCGCATACTAGGGTTTCCGATATTCATTTTAATTATTTCCTTTTTTTATTGAGAAATTCCATTTTGAATGGGTTAAATACTAATAATTTCCATTCTATACTCTAAGAGGCGATTAGGTGCTCTGGAAAAAGGGGGGGATGTGTGTGTGTGTATACGTACTTTGTCTCTAGGAGTGTTTTTTTTTTCTCCTTTCTCATTCTAAACATCAGGCAACTTTAAAAAGAGAGAAATAATACCAGAATAAAAGGAAGAAACAATAGAGAAATAGAAGATAAAGGGAAGAAAAGGTGATAAAGGTATATAAACCTATATCTATTTTTTAATGGATACAAGGGATATACCTTCCACTCGTAGTGGAACTGAGGATCCCAAAAGAGTGGGCTTTACATACCGCAATGTGCAGAAGAAGTTAGACAGCATGGTATATCAATCTGTGGTGGATACAATAGACAAGTGGGACTTTTTCCCATATCCATTATGTACACGCCAGCAATTAGAAGAAGTAGATCTCTACATGGTAGCCTATCGCAACAGGGAGGATACACTGACAGCGGCCAATACGGCAAAGGAAACAGAGGCGGCAATAGAAACGGCAATGGAAGTCCACAATCCTGCAGAAGAGATCGTGGGAGTGGTGGGTGTTGTTTGGGTCCCACTCACACCGGGTGAACACTTGGAAGGTTACATTCAAGTCGTATTGGTGGAACCGCAATTTCGTAAATGTCGGATTGCCCGTCATTTGTTAGAGCGAACATTGAAAATGCGTGAAGGGGGAGATCCACGCAGGCAAATACTCCGATGGCGTCTACACACCATGTCCCCATCACAAAATACCACTCAATATCTTCGATCGCTGTTGAATTCCAGTTTTACACGAAAAAATATCACGTCAGGTGAGAAAGAAGAAGAAGAAGAAGAAGAAAAGGAAGAGAAGAAACAACAAATGGATCAAGTGGAGGAGTTATTAGCGGCAGTTCCGCGAGTGTATGAGAGTTTTGGATTCACTGTGAGAAGATATGTGTACAACTACTATGAGAGGTCTGCAGATGCGATGGAGATGGTGAAATGTGTGGAGGGCGTGAGAAAGCGGCGCTGAAGGGGTTTTCACATTATAGAGTTGATGCTAATTTTTGTGGTGGAGTGGTGGGTAATTAATGCGTAAAGAGCTTATCGTATGGGATTCGGTCATTCTCATCAACATGAAAAGTGTTTATTTGTGTAGTCTTTATAAAGAAATGGAAAAAAATAACAATATGGAAAAAAAAGAGAAGAAGATATTTATTATCTTTTTCAGTTTTCGCCGTTTCCCGGTTTAATATTCCTATTTCTGGATATCATTTACTCTTGTTCGTTTTTATTTTATCTCTTGCTTTGGGGAATATATATATATATATATATATATGTATATATATATATATATTTAATTACAGCTGTCAATACTGTTACTAAATGTTATGATGATCATAATTCATATAATAATAATTATTATTATTACTATTATTATTGCTCTTATTCCGAGTTTATTTCTTTTTATTTATTTCCTATTTTTCATTTACCCCCTCTTTTTTTTTTTTTCTTATTTATCCCCATATAAATAATAATAGAAGCGGGAACGCATACTTCATTCCTGAAAGAATGCCTGTCCCACCGGCATCTTTCACACGATCGAAGTGGCTCGCCTTCTTCGCAGAGCTCACCGCAAAGATCACACATCACAACATCATGGTTGTACTCGAAGGATGTGAAGTGTTGAAACGCATTCTCATCTCGCAGGTCTCAATTGCGGCATTTCTCGAGGAAGGCGCATTATTAACACACTTTCTTGATACCATCGCCGGTGATGCCTTATCGAATGAGCGACGTGAGTATGGTCCATCCTTAGCAATGGCAGAGAGACTACTATTTACGCAGCTAGAGACACTTTCATTGTTTATTGATATGATGGTTGCCCTTCACGCAGATAAAGATCCATATTATTGTTTATTGGTTATTGCACGTGCAGGGGATATTGTGTTAACACTTGTGAGACTTTTACAACGACAACAACCACGTTTCTTTGGTCTCACGGCAATGTTACTAAAATCTCTATTAACTCTCCCACTTGGAAAAGAAGTTCGAGATCTGTATGTGGATGAAAAACAACGCTCTGTTGCCCTTATGTGTCATTTACAGAAATTACAAAAAGCGGTATCTCAACAAGAAGAAATTCTTCAAGAAACTGTTGAAATATTACAGACACTTGGTATTACAACAGATGGTCCTATGCAGTATTGCAGTCAATTCTTATTTAATATGGCTCTTCATCGACTTGTACGACTTCAGAAGGCAAAAAAACGTCATCATAATACCTCAGAAAATGATTCTTTACATATGATTGGATTAAATAAAAGTGAACCTACCTTTGCTGACAGGAGTACAGAGTATGCTGTGAAAAGTCAAAATTCTACCTTTATGAATATTAATACTACTACTACTACTATTACTGAGACAGATGCTCCTACACCGGCTGGTACCAATGAAACCAAGGTTTCAATAGATTTAACGGATGAGAGTCTAACAGGAAATAATTTAGAAGGTGTGGAGATTTCTATTCCTGAGAATGAGTATATAGATTGCTTTGAACGACTCTCTAAATGTCGTTCTCATGAAGAGTTTTTCTATATGATGAACCGTTTATGGTGTTTAACGGTTGCAGCAGAAGCGGAATTACGACAACGATTCACCAGTGTAAACTTTGATTCTGCATTTAAACGTTTCCTGCAAACAATGCCTTTAAACCAACAAGATCAAATGCTGTTTACATCTGTACTTTTATGGCTCTCACATGTTATATCCGATCACTATCTCAGTGATAACACCCGTGATCACATTCTTAATATCACCGGAAACGCCCTTATTACTTTACTACGAGATAGCATTATGAATCCTACTCCTATTTCTAACACTAGTAATGATGCGAATAGTAATAATAATAATAATAATAATAATAATAATAGTAGTAGTAGTAGTATTATGAGTAATAGTACGATCGGACTTCGACTCGTTGGACTTTCTTTCCTTCTTGTGGGTGTTGGACAGTGGCCCCCGCCTGCTGGTCTTCTCGCTCTTCTCACTGGTCTCATCAACACACAACACACCGTACGCACCGCCCAACTGAATGCCCCAAACACACCAGACGGCGGTCTTCCAGATGAAGTGTATCTCGCAGCCGCAGCAGAGGCCACTCGCAGTGAACACATCACTGTTGCCACACTCGCCTGTAAACTACTCGCCGCGGTAGTGGGGAATCACTATAAAGTATTGTGTACAACCCTCACTACAGAGACATGTGATATGCTTCAGAATATTATTCCATTACTATTGAAGATTAGTATAAATAATCCAACTCTGGCATCAGCAGTGGAAAATATATCTGGATCGGCTTTACATTATTTACCTAGCTGTTATCGTTCTTCTCGTTATACCTCATTAGGAGAGTGTAGTATGGTGGCATTAGATGCTTGTTTTTGGTTAATGGATATTGGAAAATTTGATACTTTAAAATTAAAAGATATTATCTCTCATTTACCTGCTCTTTCACGAGCTACACGAAACAGTATTCATCCACCTTTACGAGCATCCGTAGATCGTTGTCTCGCACGTCTCTGTAGATCTACTGAAGATCTTTTAACAGTTCTTCATGAGATGCCATCTGTATTTAATGCGGCTATTACCAGTATATTAGAGTATAGCTCTATTGCTCCACAATGGGAAACAGCAGCTGCAGCAGAATGGTTAGATCATGTTATTGAAATAGCTAAAAATGATATTCAAGTGGAACAGAGTTTTGATTTTTCCAGAACTGCACTTCCTATTAAATTATTAGAATTAGCTTCTTCAAATGGTATTACATATGCTACAGCTGCAATGCTTTCCTTAACAGTTGCTTTATTTCATCAGGAAAAACGTTTTGCCGATTATCATCATAATCATCAAGAGACTTCAACTAGTGTTATTATCCCATATGGTAGACGATCACTTGATTGTTGGTTTAAACTCATTCAAGTTGCAACCCAATCAAGTGAGAAATTAGCACATGTATGTGAAAAGTCTATGTTTTCTACTTCTAGTTCTAAAGATGCCCTTTCACGTTTGATTAGCAGTATTGAAGGAATATCTGTGCAGTTTTCTTTTGTATGTTCACTCGCCCGTGGACTTTTATTACTTATTACTTCATATCCAGAGTATAGAGATCATTTTGCACATCATATGATGTATGGATTATTTCTCAGTGCCTTTTCTCTCCCATCACCAGACGATATCTTTGAAATGTTATTCATTCGATTCGGTGTAAAGGTGGAACAGCATGATTTATTAGAACGTTCATATGAAAATATGCTGCAGTGGATGATTGAACTTGCTTCCCAGTGGTTTAATGTTACTACTACTACTACTACCACTACTATTAATACTAATACTAGGAATATAAAGAATGAAGAGAAGGATAAACAATCTTTTCCTACTCTTCCCTCTGTCTTTTATGATCATCTTTGTAAAATAATGAAAAATGATCGTATTTCACAAGGGACTCGTGTATCTATCTCTACACTTGTATCTATTATTATGATGATACCATCTAATTCACTACGTGAGGTATTATCAACATCTAGTGGAGATCTTTTCTCTGCATCATTGAGTCTAAAGTCTATCTCTTGTGTAAGTGGAATGCAATGTCGTCTGGTATTACTCTTTAAATCTGCAAATGAAAAGGCACACACACTTGGATGGTTTGAAGCTAAAGTGATGGAACTTGAGGGATATATAAAAACACTTAAGAGAAATAATGACATTATGGAAACTCAAGAAATGGATCTTCTCTTAATGTCTCTTTCCTTTGTCTGTAGCGTTATTGCCTCTCCCCATTCTCCCACCCTATCGCAAGAGATTCTTCACTCCTTCAGTGCCTCACTGCGAACGGCTTTGGGAAATGAGAAAACACAACGGGCCGCCTTTCAAGCAGCCGCGGCACTTGCAAAGAGTGAAGAGGGACGCCGTTGTTTATTACATGAAGTCACTACTTCAGGAGAGCCACTGGCACGAAGTTGTTTTGGTCGTATTTTAGGCATTACGGTTGGAGTTATGCAGGGCGGTGAACATCATCATTACTATCCACAATCACCACCACCATCATCATCATCATCAGCTACACAACTACAATCATCATCATCATCATCATTACTATTACTACTACAAACATCACCATCTCAACAACAAATACAAAAAGAAACCAATAACTGTATGAAACGTTCTCCTGTGAGTGAACGGGATTCCTCTAGGGCGGCGATAACGATGTTTGGATTTGATATTTGTGCGACTACGTGTGGTAAAGGTGGTGAGGTATTTACACATAATGTGATGAAACTGAAAGGTGTGGAACATATAGAGGCACTCTTGTTGAGATTTGAACGTCAACGTACATCTGCGCCTTTAGGGCTTTATCGATTTCTCGCCGCGATTTCATTTCATGCGGAAGCACAAGTTGCTATTATACGACAAACGGAACTTATCACTATAGTGATTGAGGCGGCAACAAGTGCAACGCGGCATGGCACTTTAGCCCTCTTAACACTTCGCAATCTCTGTTTTAATCCCTCACTCAAAACTCAAGTCTGTCAAGATCAACGTATTCTTCTCACACTGAAGGCGGCTTTATTGGCACAACCCACTTTACAACCCGTATTGTGTGATAATAACACACCGGAAACCCGAGAGAAGATGAAAACGATGTTATTAAACATGAGAAGTGAACAAGTTGTAAGGAAGTTTGCAGAACAGGCAGCAGCATCTCGACAAGTAAAGAAGAATGATCATGAAAATGGTGGGATGATAAATGCTCATACAAGTCTCCCTACGGGTTCTTTTGATACGGCAGAGATATTACGTCGACAGGAATTGGCCGTAACGGCATTTTGGTCTCTTATGTATGATAATCAACGGAGTAAATCATATGTACGTGGTTTCTTAAACCAGGATCCTGTTGTGAATATAAACAAACTCGTGATGCCATCCAATTCACTCACGACTGTATCTCCTGACCTGCAAAAGTATCCAGAGAAGATGACAGAGGCTATTGGAAATATTAAACTACTTGGGAAAGGGGCTATTTAGGGAAGTACAATATATATATATATATATATATATATATCTTGGTTCATTTTTTTCAAATGAACATTTGTGTTACTGAGATAAAATAGTTTCTTTTTTTGTTTCGTTTTCCTTTTGTAAGAACAAGAACATCAACAAGAAGAAGAAGAACGAAAAAAAAAAGTAAAAAAGAAAAAAATAACATCTGTGTTTTTTTTGTTTTTTTTTTTGTTATTCATTTATAGAGAAAGCAAAAAGAAAAAAAAAAGAGTAGGGAAACATAAGAGAGAAGAGTGATGTTTCTCTAACTTTGTTTATTATTTGCTGAATATTGATTACCATAGAGGTCTTTTCAGGGTTCCACGTTCTTGTTTCATTTCATCTATCTAAAATATATATATATAGAGGGAGAGAAAGAGAGATATATTTATAGAAAGAGATATTATTTCTTATTATAATTTGAGATGTCTGTATCTGAAAAGGTTTATCATTTTCTACTGTATGTCTTATTGCCATTATTTGTTTTCTGTTCATGGCTGATTGTTTCTTGCCTTCATACCCCCCCCTTTTTTTTTTTTTTGCTCGTATGAGACATTTCCAAAATAGAGACAAAAAAAAATCAAAAATATTTTTCGTTATTTTTTTATTTTATTTTTTCTTTTTATTTTTTAAACAAAAGATTGTGGACTTTTTTCACTCTTTCTCTCTTAAGTTCCCTATTTCTCTTTCTTTCTTTCTTTCTTTCTTTCTTGGTGTACAATTCACTATATATAGATTGAAGAAAAAGTTCACAGCAAGCAAAAAAAAGAACAGAAAACAAAGAGAAGCTAACATACACATATATATATATATATATATATATATATATACAGAAAGGTTCTCTTTATAAAAATGACAGACATCACCGTAAAAAAGACGGCAGTCCTTCAACTCGTACGGCATATATTATCTAATGAGTGTATAAAGCCAACAGAAGGCCAAACACCATTGCAGTTACCAGAGAAGTATGAAGATCTCAGAGATGGGGCCTTGTTGTATCGTATTCTCTCTCACATTGCCCCGCAAAGTTTCCCCGACGCGAATGAGATGGCCGAACAATCACCAGCGAGTAGAATGAATAAAGTCGTACGTAAAGAAAATCTCTTATCGCTTGTAAAGCATATGAATGACTATGCCCATCAAGCCTTGGGAGCACCCGATACACTTAATCTTATTCAACTCCTGAATGCCGAAGATATAGCGAATTCCCCTGCCTTAAATAGGGATGAAACCAACACGGAATCTGAAAAGAAAAAAGAAGAAGAGGAAGAAGAAGAAGATAAGGGATTCCTCTGCTTAATGGAATTAACGGATATATTTATCGTAATGGTGGTGTTGAGTGGGGATTCCACTATTATGCAGGCAGTGAAGTCTCTCCCACACGCCCATCAAGTGATTCTCTCCAACACGGCAAAGATGTGTATTACCAAACACGCCTTACGTCCTCGTAGACGTGCAGAGACGACCACATCTGCAGATTCCCATCATTCAAGTGTTGTTGGGTCCAGTCACGGTGGTCCCTCTTCTCGCAGTACACAACAGCAGCCCTCTTCTTTAATGGAGGAGTCTTCACAGAGTGCATTTGTGCAGCAACTGCGACGGGAACTGGATGATAGTAACGCAAAGGTGATGGAATTGGAATCCACTCTACAACTCACATTAAAAGAGAAACAGGAATGGGAGTCAAAGTATAAGAAGATGATGGCAGAGACAGAGGAACTACGAGTGGCATTTGCAGGAGAGGAACATTTACGGCAACTCTTAGCGAAGAAGGATGAGACGGTGAAGACACTCACGGCAACCGCGGAAGAGTATTCAAAAAAAATTTCAGCCTTTAAAGAAGCCACTGCTTTACAGGAGACTGCACTTAGTGCTATGAAACGTAAATTAAAACAAACAGAAGAAGAATTAATTAAAAAAAATTCAGAAAGACGTGAGGCATTAGAAAAACTTTCATTAGCAGAAGAGAGATTAACAGCTCAAGTAAATGCTAGAACCGATCTTGAAAAACAATTGGAAGATTTACGTGCAGAATTAGCACTTGTTAAAGTTCAGAATCATCATACGAACGATGATGGTGAATCTCGTCTTAATCGATCTTTCGGTTCTGTTAACTCTATTGATCGTGTTGTCATGTTAGAGAATGAATTAGATGAGGCACGTAGTCAAAAAGATGCGGCTGAACGTTTATTGCATGTATTACAACGTCAAGTCGCATCTCTTCCATCGGAAGGGTTTAAACCAGATGCGGCATTAGATGCTCTTAAAACACAAATACGACAATCTGAAAAAGAAAAGGAAGAACTACGCAATCAACTGGCTTTGACAGTGGCGAGATTAGAAGAGGCACAAACACGATGGAGAGTTGGTGGGAGTCAAAGTATGATTGACAGTGAGACTGGGAGTTTCATGGCGGGAAGTAAAGCAGGCGGTAAAGATGTGGATGGGGCCAACACACAACAAGATACCACAGAGTCTGTTGGAGTGCAATCACGTACACGTGAGAGTAGTGATGGATCACGGCGAGAACAGACATTATTGGCATCTACGGTATTACTGCTTGGTTATCGCAATTTAGTCTTACAACAACGGGCCCTGTTGGAGAATGGACTACCCGATTCTACTTTTTATAGGAGAGGAATAGAGTTAGAGAGTGAGCGGCCGGCGGTGGCGGGTTCATTCCTTACACAACACCGCTGTGAAGTGGAGGAGGGATTAGTGCGGTCTGTGCTCTACCGTAATGAGTGGAATCATTGATTGTAGAAGATTCATCTTTTTCTTTTTTCTTTAATTCTATGTTTTGCTTGTTATCTGTCTATAGTTTATTTATCTATCTATCTGTGTGTTTGTTCATATATATATATATATGTTTATATGCGTTTTTTTTTTTTTTTTGCGTCTTGAGATTGTATTATACCTTTTTTTCTTTTCCTTGCGATAGGTTGTACAGTACAAACGCACAGTGAAAGAAAGTAAAGTAAACAATTCCAGCAAATAAAGAGAATAAATAAAAAGTTCTTTTTTATTATTCTCTCTCCATCTTTATCTATCTATTCCATCCTTCTTCATATGCCTCTCTTTTTTATTTATTTATTTACGTTTTTTTTTTTTTTTTTTTTTTTTTTTTGT